AAAAAAGATGAGTGAGCGGCCATCATGTGGCTTGGCAGATAAGGTGCTGGATTCCTGTATGGTGAACTGTGGTTTGAGTTAGGAGCTAGCAGCTTGAAAAATAATGCGAGGCACATATGCAATGCATGTCCAAAATGCCAGGAAAAGAATGGAGGCGATAGGACTATGCTGTGGCCATCTCCCTGGGGGGTGATTTCTCATTTTCCCTTGGTATCTCTCTGTCTCTCCCTGTCAACTACACACTCCCTATGGCAAAACCTAAAATAAAAAAGAAAGATAAAAGTGATCAAATGAAATAAGTTGTTTACAAGGAAATCCAGTGTAATACATTTATTTATTTTTATCTTTAAATAGCATAATTTCAACTCAAATGGATAAACTATTAAGGGAAGGTCTTGGCCTACATTACAGAACTGTCTAGAGGTAGTCCTTGATTCATGCAGAATTTAATCATGGATCTAGCTCTCTCTTTTTAATAATCTCAGATCTTTATTTATTTGTATTTTTGCTCTGTCCCCTTGCCAAATTTCCTGATGGTTACAGGATGATCTCCAGTAGTCCGTTACATGGTCCAAAACAGTATTTTGATGTCATTGTAGAGTTTGACTGTGTCCTTTTGCTTCAGAATTTCTAGGGCTGGGACCAGCAGGTGGTGTAGTGGTTAGGTTGCTGGAGTCCTACATGGTCGACTGTGGTTGAAGTTACAGACCTGGAGGCTTGAAATACACTGGGCATATATATTTGCATGCCCAAAATTCTGGGGGGAAACTGAAGGAGAACGGATCGTGGCATGGCCATTCCACCGAGGGGGGCTGATTTATCACTTTCTGTCTCTCTGGCAAGTGCACACACCCAATAGCAAAAATTTCTCTCAAAGTAAAAAATAAACAGAATTTCTAGGGCCAATAGATGACAAAGAAGTTAAGTGGCTAGATCCCACAAAGCCAACTGTGCAGATGGAGACCTAGACTTGGTGACTTGTAAGACACGCCAAGCACATAGGCAGGGAGAATTCTCTACTTCTTGTTCTCTGACTTCCATGTTAAGTGTGAGTGCTAGAGTTTCTATACAACAATATTCCTTCAGAGTAATGTCATTGTCTGCCCCCTGCCAACTTGTGAGAATGGACTACTTTTATGGTCACATATGTGTGCAGCTTTTGGGTCCTGGAATATATGGGAATCATGAAGACTATTATATTTGGGAAGACTTCTTGTATCATACTATAATTCTATTCAGAGTCACTACTGACTCTTAGAGATATATTTAGAATTTTGCATCACAGGAGCCAGTTGGTAGATAGACCAACCCATCTCAGACTCTGAAAACATCATCTGTTCTGCTTTCCAGCCACTCTAGTGTCACTGGTTTCTTCTTTTTCTCTCAGTATATTTCTCTTTAGGGTCTTATGACTTGCATTATCTTAATCTCTTGCACTTTTCTTTGGGTTCTATACAATGGGTTTTCAGCCACATCCATCTTGCATTTGGGATGCTGACCAGTGGCTATTGAAGGATCCTACTAATATGCAGCAGCAGCAGAAAGACAAAAGGAGAGCGAAGAGTAAGGACAGGTATTTATTCCCTTTGCTCCCTCACTCCAGGCTGTAATTTCAAAGTAACTGTATTCATCTACATGCACCCGTAGTTCATTGTTTAAACCACAGTCACAGTTCTCCTTTGGCTCCTATTAACTGCTCCCCTATCTTACATCTTTAGCTTAGGGAAGGGAAGTAGCTCTTCGCTGTTTCTAAACCCGGAACGATCAATCATTCATTGTTGATTCCCCTTTCCCCTGCACATGGCCATTAGTCTGTTCATCCAAATCTCCTAAATTATTTAAGAAAATTATCTGTTTTGTTTTTTTTTTTTTGGCAGAACTTTAGCTGATTTACATAGATTATTAGATTATTAAGAAAAACTTTTCAAGTAGTTTTTCAAATTATTTCTTTCATTTTCTGCTGTTATGATAACTCACAAATCCCATTTTCAAACTATTAGCTGAAGTATTGATGTCATCAACAAAAATATTTCTCAGTCATTTCAGAAAATCACCAAAGTTGTATTTTGGTTGAGGCCTCTAAGGCATTAATTATCCTATTCTACTTTACATCAGATTTCACTTGTGACCAGCGTCTTATAAAAGTAAAACATGTAAGTCAATTGTTCATAGATGCATACAGTGTTCAGCCTTCTAGGTGGCTAGGGAACTATAGGTTTATAGGAGCCGGCAAAGATCAACTACTTTCTAACATTGTGTTATGTTTAGTCACTAAGTACCAAATACATTCTCACACTTTGTGTCTCACTCTGTGCTAAAGGAAGTAATTTTGTTTAAAGTTTCCCTCTCAGGTAACCATGAGAATTTAAATCTAGACCCTGCGTTCAAACAGGGGAGCTGATAGCATCACTCTATTCTTCTTTCTTCATTTGGATCCTTCGTCCAACACTATCTTTTTTTTTTTTTTTCCTGTCAAATGCAGAAGAAAAGAGAAAGAATTTGGGTGGAAATGGGTAGATCAACTAGAAAAAATATTTATGAGAATTTTCTCAAAAATTCTCAAGGTGTGTTCTCAAGAGTACCAATATTAAAATCACTTGAGAATTTGTTGAAAGTGTATAATTGCAGTCCCCACCACAGATACTGAAATAAAAACACTAGGGCCAACAAGGAACAACTATTTCTGCTACAACCAACTATCCAGAAAATTTTAATTGAGTTAAAGATTTAGAATCACTGATCTAGAAAAACGTACCTCTAAGTAACGTACCAATAAACTATTAACATTAAACCATTTAAGTCAATGTTTTAGACATTTGCTCTTATATTTTTGTAATCATCTATGAGAAAATAAAAAAGATATTTCAAAGCTACTCATCTACCATGCTCCAACTTCATTCTTTATTAATTTACATTGGTTATATCTCTAGTATTATACCTGAATTAACATTATCAATTTCCTTTTTTTTTTAGAGATGCTTTCAGAAAGGCAGAGTTAGCTAAGAAGAGACTGTGAGACAGAGACAGTGAGAAAGCCTCCCTTATGGGGAAGCTATGACCCTTTCTCTGTTTCCTCCCCTTTCAAGATTTTGGGGATACACAAACACATGCTGGCCATCTTTCTGAAGCTACCAGGTCAGAGACTTGAACCACAGTAGGCCATGTGGGATGGTTGCTTAACCATCATGCCACAGGCTGGCCCCAACTTTCCTTTTATTTTACCCTCTATTAATCATAGGTCTAATTTACCAAAGAAAGGGCAATTTTTAAAATTGAGTTTGGGAAGACAACATATATTCCAAATTTGTAAAGAACGTAAATAATCAGAGTATATATTGTGGCTTATATCAATTTCATGAGCCAGTCTACTTCAAAGTTGTTACAATTACTCACCAATTTGATACATTTCATCCTTCCTAGAAAAACTTCACTTGAATTTCTATAATATCTACCATGACCAAAATATTCTAACAAAACATTTCAGATGAAACTTCTTTAAAATTAAATCTATTAATTCATCATAACAGAAATAGTAACAATGTTGCTAGTTACATAGCTTTTCTCTTGATTACTTTTAAATTAAAATCTTCTAGACAACCAGAAAAAAATGTCAACAATAAGAATCAGTAAGAGCTGTATAGTTGGTAAAAGAAAAAGAAAATCAATAATTATATATGAATGTGTATTTATCCATATATATAATGCTGTCCATATTTTTAAATGCTGATCATCTTTTTAAGAAGAGTCACTAATATGCTAACCTATGAAACACAGAACTAATACTAATATTCTTTTTTTTTTTGAGAGAGAGATCTTTGCTATAGGGCATGTGCACTCACTGGAGAGACAGAGAGAAAGAGATAGAGAGTGAGAAATCACCGCCCATGAGGGATAGCTACACCGAAATCTACTCTCCTGTTGGGTTTGTGGTGATGCATGCATACATGCCTGGTACGAGGTTTAAGCAGATGGATCCAGGATTCAAAGTGTGCCAACTACGTGGGAGTTCAGTGATTTAACCATTATGCCATCTGCTGGTCCCCAAAACTAATAGTTCTAAACTAAAAAGTAAATATGTTTAATAGGATAACAACTGGATTTATAGTAAATGAATACAAGATTAAATACATGCACAAATTTGACTGGATAGGGTAAATCTTCCAAGATCTTGATATAATGGTGATAATTCTCTTCAATTTTTTTTTTGAAAAAGCCAGATTTAAAGTTTGTACTATTTTTATATTTTAAATTTGGATTCTTTCAAAATTGGTGAAAATATTGTTCATCATACATCCATGATATGTGTGTGTTCTATGTTTCTTTTTGGTGTGCTTTAAGTCTATCTTGAATCCTAGCTTTTAATTTTCTACCTTTGCTAATAATCTACAATTTTGAGGCTATTTACTATCCTTCAATAATGCCTAGCAGAACTTACTTTAACCAGCCAGATAAAAGTCAAGCAAGTGTGAAGAGTACAAATTGTATTTCTTAATGGTGTGAGGAAATATCTATAAAGCTATTTAAAAAGGACTAAAATGATATGCCCAGAGATCTAGGTCACTTCTGTCATCTATAAAATAAGCAATTTTTAGCAAATTCCTACTTTAAAAAGCACTATGTCCTAAAAGGCTGCCTAACTAAAAACTATCAGCTGAGGTCTGTAAATCATAGAAATATATGATTATTTTCCACTTTCAAAATAGTTGAACATCTTGTGTATATAGTAAAAATAGTACTGTGAGGTTTACATTTCTCTAGACCATCAAATATTACTCAATTATCTTAAAACATCCAAACTGTGTGAGAGTCTCTCAAATATATACTTAAAACCAATACCAGAATAATTAACTCAAAAGATACAAAAGGTTTCTATTTTAACTTGAAATTAATTACTACATGTCATTAAATGAATATTAAGTTTATCCACTAAACATTTATTTTTTGTCCACATTTAAAAAATAATGTTTTATATTAAAATAAATTTAGGAAATTAGTTATACCTGAAATTTTCTTTTTCACATTTCATACATGTGCCTGTGGCGTTATTCATCCAAGGACATATCTGATGTGATGATTGAGTTCTCTTACAAAGCACGATTATAAATATTGATGAATAGGTGCACATAACATCCTAGGAAAGATTAACATTGTTTTACGAAAGTTTTTGGATATTTCAAAGACAATGAATAGTTATACCTGGAGAAGTGTGAGAACTATTTTCTTAAACATGCAAAAGAGGTCCTCTGTGCAGCAACGTGGAACACTCCAGATTGCAAAAATGTCTCAATAATACAGTATCTCCCATCTCACACACTCATACTATGATGGGAAATTAGCACTCCTCTCATTGAGATTTGGGGACAATAAGGTCTCCCTTTTGAATGGAAACAAGCTCATGATCATGGTGAAAGGGATGCCATGTGGCCATGTGACATCCAAGGCTGTGCTAAATGGCCAGACAGTGTCTATCTATCTTGAAATGCTTGCTCTTGGAACCACAGCAACATGCTCTGATGAAGTCCAGACCACATGGAGAAGTCATGTTTAGGATCTGTCCAATAGTTCATCTGAGAACCCAGCTAAAAGCCAACATTAAAAACTAACATGTGAATAAGAAACCCTTTGGGACTAGCAGATGATGTAATGGCTGCATTGCTGAATTCCCACAGAGTTGACCGTGGTTCAAGTCCCAGATGCAGCGACTTAAAACTCCTACTGTGTGTGTGTGTGTATGTGTGTGAGAAGAGAATGGAGGAGAAATGACTGCAGTGTGGTCATCCTCCCCCTCCCCCCCCACCATGGGGTAATTTCTTGCTTTTTGACTCTCTGTTTCTCCCTACCTCCCTGGCGAGTGCATGTGCCCTCAGACATTTTCTAACTACAACTATATTACAGACACTGAACAATAAAAGTGTACACAATGGCATTATTCCCAGGGGCGAATACTGAAGGAAGAGAAAAAGATGAATTTGAGATGTTTTCAAAATTGGAATTTTTATTTAAGTGGGTAAATTAAAATAAACAAAGAAAGCAGATTTTCTGATTTTCCTGAGTTTGAAAATTGGATCTTAATAAGAAATTTATTTTCACTTTTCAGTTGCCTGGTAATGATGAAAAATATTTCAAAACTACTCCCTTGTAAGTAAGGTTTACACTTACATTTGTTATGTTGATGCTGCCCGAGCAGTTCTGATGTGGTGTTGAACATTCCTTGACATCAGTTTCCCAGTTTTGACTGAGAAATACTTCTGGGCACTCACTAATATAAGCCAAGCTGGTATTTTGGCAAATTCCCACTTTCCAACAAGAATGAGAAACACAAGGTTTCATTAACTCTTCACAGGATGGACCTTAAAGGATCACAGAAGGAAGGAAGGAAAAGAAAGAAAGAAAACATGAACATGATTATGTAGCAGAACACTATGAAAGAGTTTCCAGAGTTCATGGAATCTTTTTCTTCAGCAGATTTATTACAATGTAAGTTTCATATTATAGACCTCACTCATTGCATAACGACAATTAAGTAACTTTTGCAAATGTTAGCATTAACATCACCACAGTCCAATTTTAAGACAGTGCTATTTCCCAAAAAAGAATTCGTTTGGGGGTCAGCTGTTGGCACAGCAGAAATATACCTGAACCTTCACAAGAGGGTACCGAGTTTGCTTCTAGAGCACGTGTCTGTAATCTGAACTGGCTGAGACTGGGGGTCAAGCATGGTGTAAGGACTGTATCGGGGGTCCCCACCCCTTTCTCTCTTGTGAAAAAAAAAAAAACATTCAAGATAAATAACAATTTATGTATCTTGTCAAATGAAATATCTATTTAAATCTTTTAATTACTTTTAAATTATGTAATCTATTTTCTTATATTTTTAGTGTATTCTTTGATTGGGTTCTTTATAAATTATGGATGCAAGTTCACTATGATATAGGAATATATATATGAATATGAATATGCCTTTAAAGTACTTTCTCCATATTTTTTCAGTTTTTCATTTGATGACTTTTAAATAGCAAAGGTTTTGATTAAGTCCAATTTATCTATGCTTTTCTTTGATTAGTCCAACTTATCATTTTTTCTCCATTTATTATCATGCTTTCAGTTTCTTTTTCTTTTCTTTTTTTTTTTTTGCTTACCATAAAATCATAAAAATGTTTTCATAGGTTTTATTTTCCCTCTTACATTTTTATCTTGGATCCATTTAAGGTACTTTTTCTGTAGGGGATGGGATAATGAATTGAGTTTGTTTATTTTTTTGTTTATAAATATGTAATTGCCCCAATACATTGTTTAATAAAAGATTATCCTTATTTAATGGCTTTTCCACTATTGTTGAATATTGGCTAATTATTGGGACCAGCAGCTGGTGTAGTGGTTATGTTGCTGGACTCTCACATGGCCATCCCCAGTTCTATTCTCAGACCTGGTGGCTTGAAACTCATGCTGTCTATGTGTGTGTACAAGATCTCAGGAGGAGAATGGAGGAAGAGATTATAGCATGGCCATGCCCCTTAGGGCAAGGACACATGCCCTATGGCACAAAACCTCTCAGGGGAAAAATAAAAAAACGAAGAAGAGAAAATTGGCTAATTATCTAATTATCAACACGAGTTGATTTCTAGTCTTTTAACTCTGTCCTACTGGTCTATATAACTTTCCACAGCAACAATACACTGTCCAGATACTTATAACTATGTAGTAAGTTTTGAATTCTGGCTATGATACAATTTTCCTTTTTTACCTGTAAACTTATTTTGGCTATTCTGTTGATTCTTTTCCATTCCATGTAAATCTTTATATGAGCTATTCAATTTCTACACAAAATAGTGCTAGAAAACTGATGAGGATTTCTGGTCAATTCACTGTAGCTTAATTTCTTTCTTTTTCTTTTCCTTTTTTTTTTTTTTTTTTTTTTTTTGCTATAGGGCACGTGCGCTCTCCAGAAAGACAGAGAGAGAGAGACAGAGACAGAAAGTGAGAAATCACCCCCCCAGAGGGTATGGCCATGCCGCAATCCCTTCTTCTCCATTCTCCTCTCGGGATCTTGGGCACGCACGCGCATGCACCTGGCATGAATTTAAGCCACCAGGTATAGTACTTGAACTGTGGTCTACTAAATGGGAGTCCAACGACATAGCCATTACACTAACTGCCAGTCCCTAATTTCTTTGAATGTTATTTCATTTCTCTTAACAGTATTATATAATTTTTAATTAAAGTCTTGAATTTAATGTGCTAAATTCATCCCTAGACTTTTATTGGTGTTATTGTAAATTAAATTGTTTTATTAATATTCTTTTTACAATTTTATTATTGGTATATAGAAATACATATGACTTATGTACTCTCTTGTATCCTACAACCTGTATAAGCTCAATTACTAGTTAGTTAGTTAGTTTTTGTTTTATTTAGGATTTTCTGCATGGGATTATGTCATCTGCAACTAAAGATAGTTTTATTTCTTTCTTTATAATTTGTATATCCTTCTGTCACATTTGTGTGGTGAGTGTGTGTGTGTGTGTGTAAGACTATCAAGTAGTCTAGAATATGCTGTACAATATTGAATAGAAATGTTAAAAGTGGACATCATTGCATTGTTCCCAAGTTTAGGGGAATAGTTCTCAGTCTGACACTGTTAATAGGATATTTGTATGATGCTTTTTATCATAATGAGGAAGTTTTTATTTTTTTAAATATATAATTTGTTGAGAACTTTTATAATGAAGGAGTGCTGGATTTTTTGAAATAGGTTTTCTGTAGCTATTAAGATAATCACATAAGTTTTCCCTTTTTCTTATTAATATGATCTTCATATATTAAATTACTCTTTCATTTTTATCATTCTTAGGCAAAAATCTGACTTTGTCATGTTATAAAAATATTTTTCTTTGTCACCGGATTTTATTTAATTTTTTAAACTTTTTTATTTATATTCAAAAAGCGATATGATCTTTACCTTTCTTTTCTTACATCATCTTTATTTGCCTTCAATTTTGTTATGAAGATAATAACTAGACTCAGGAAATGAGTTTGGAAGTGTTCCCTTCTTCTCTTCTCCTTTATCTGAAATGTCTATAAGAGTTGGTACTAATGTCTTAATCTTAATATTTGGTGGGCATATTTTTCTATTCCTTTTTTGTCGGAGAGGTTTTTGCTATAGAGCACGTGCTCTTGTCAGACAGAGAGAGAGAGACAAAGAGACAGAAAGCGAGAAATCACCCCCCCGGGGGGGGATGGCCACGCTGCAATCCCTTCTACTCTGTTCTCTACTCGGGATCTTGGGCATGCATGCACATGCTCCCAGCGTGAGTTTAAGCCACCGGGTCCAGGACTCGAACTGCGGTTGACTAAGTGGGAGTCCAGCAACATAGCCATTACGCTAACTACTGATCCTCTCTATTTCTTTCTAAGGGAACATTATTTATTATTCATTTGTATGTATCCACCTTTATATATATATATATATATA